TTCCTCGATAGTATAGTGATCAGTATTCCCATCTTTCACAAAATATTTTGCTTAAATTTCTTATGTAAAGCATCCATGACACACTAGACAACTGTTCCATGTTTTAAATGTTAAAGTAACAATGCGGTTTTCCTGGTATTTTCCTTCAATTACAATTTTATAATTTTTCGCAAAATTTAACATTTAACTTTTTTAGAATTTTTCTCAACATTCGTAAATCTATATAAAGAAAATTTATCGAAAATTTTCTATAGAAAGAAAATTTATCGAAAATTCTCCATAAATTGTCCAAATTTTCTTAAACTTTTTTATAAATGTTTTTAGAATAGAGCATATTTTTTAATAAAATTTGTCTTTTAAAAATTTATTTGCAATTAAATTCCCATAAAATTTTCAAATAAAACTCGTTTATTATTAAATTATTATTAAACATCTTCGTTAAGAACAAAAAATAATTACGAATAAATCAAAAAAACAAGAATTAAATAAAAAAATATTATAATAATAACCTTGATCTATATATTCCGAATATAAAAAATTTTCATTATCAAGGTAAACAAAATAAAAGCTAACACACACAATCACAACAGACATCGGATAGAATAATTCTTATGTCCTCGTCTCTATACACAACCTTCAAACATTTTATTCGTTTATACTGACTCAAGGTTTTCACCTTGATATCAAACGTTCTTACTCATTCAAGGTTTTCACCTTGATTATGAAGGTAATTTCAGTCCATTACTCCCTACAATATTTTAACCTTCGCATTCAATACGATGGCATTGAATCACAAAACGACAACCTTCAATTCAATGTCACGTTCATTGTCAATGTTTTTTTTTTTTTTAATTCTCAGCATTCAATGTGAAGTATAATAATTATTCAAGGTCATTCGATATTTTATTTCACGAACAGAAAGCAATTTTTAAAAGCTAATAAAAAAAGCTTTTTTTCAAATACCGAAATAAACACGGAAGAGAGTTTTTTTCAGTTTTATTATTTATTAAGCATTTATTTTTGCAAACACAGATACACACAAAGGGGAAGAAGAACTTTTCTTGTTATTAGAATAGAATTAATACAAAATTGTAAAAAACAATAAATGAGAATTGTTTTATAGAAAGGTATGGAGGTGTGTGTGTGATTATAATAAATTATTTAAAAAAATAATTGAATGATTAATTGTAAAAAAATTTAAAATGTGAATTTTTGAAGAATAGATCAATTGTTAATGAATTTTGTAACTTGCATAGATTGAATGGTTTAAAAAATGGGTTACTATTATTTTCACTTCCACTATTCATATAAGAGAATTTATCAAAAATTATTAAAGAACCTTCCGAATATGTTTGTTATATACATAATTTTTCGAATATTTTTATAAATTGTATATTTGTTGAAAACTTTCTCAGAATCATTTATTCGAAGCGAAAGTTATCAAAAACTTTTTCTAAACCGATTGTTTTCGAAAATTTTTAATAAACACGAAAATTTCTTTGAAAAGTAAACAATTTTACGAAAATTTTCTATGAAAAAAATTATCAAAAACTTTCTAAAAAATCAAATTTATTAAAATTTTTCTGCAAAAACGAAATTTAACGAAAATTTTCTATAAACTTAATTTTATAGATAATGTTCTATAAAAATAATATTTAATGAAAATGTTCTATAAAATGAAAATTTATAATAAATGTTCTATAAAAACGAAATTAGTGAAATTTTCTATAAAAACGAAATTTAGCGAAAATTTTCAATAAAAAAATTACGAAAATTTTCTATTAAAAGAAACACAATAATCGATAATTTTCTATAAAAACGAAATTTTTAGAAAAAACGAAATTCAATGAAAATTTTCTATAAAATTTTAATTTTAAAATTAAATTTTATGAAAATTGCCTATAAAACAACTAAATTAATCGAAAATTTTCTATAAAAACGAAATTTAATGAAAATTTTCGAATGAAAAATGAAATTTATCTGATTACAATTTATCAAAAATTTTCTATTAAAAAGAAATTTAACTTAAAAATTTAATTTAATGAAAATTTCTTACTAAAAAAGCAAAATTTATTTAATGCTTTAAAAAATTTATTTTATACAAAATTTTCTATAAACACGAAATTGATCTAACATCAGAAAGTAAATATTCTTTTAAAATTTTAAATTATGAAAATTAATGGAAATTTTTTATTGAAAATAGTTTACATCATAGCAGAAAAATATATCTACTATGATTTACATTATTACTATACTGTTGAAAAGGTCAAGTCAAATACATACATACTTCCTATAGTGACGTCATACTTATTGGCAGCACATGTTATTATTTGTTATCATTTTTTGTTTATAAACAACAACAAAAAACGTGCAGTTTGAAAAAAAATAAATAAAAACAATAAATTGTAAATGAATAGCCATAGGCATTTGTTTACAAACAAATAAACAGCTGTCTTTTATTTATACCGGCTTTTGACATGTTCGCAAAATTGTAATAGAAGAAAATTCATGTTTTAAAGTAATAGAAGGAAATGAGTCATCAAAATGAAAAAATGACGTCAATTTTTTCAGCAAAAAGAAAAAATTGCACAAAGATTGAATTTTCTCCAATGGGAAAACTTTAACATATAATATAGACAGAAAAAACATAATTATAGATTATATTTCACATTTTTGACACTTTGGATTATACATTTTTTAAATATATTCAATAATTTCTAGTTATTTAAAGCTAAAACTTTATACTTTGGCTAAAACAAAGGGCGTCACCACACCTTTGATTAATCAGCAGTCCCGTTAGCTAACTTTTTTGCTTTTCATTTACTAACCTTTTAAGCAATTTCTTTGTATGTACAAAGCTTGCACTTGAGGATCCGATAAGAATTTCTTAATCTTTTCCTGATTATCTACATCTTCAAGTGCAACATTCAAAGCCGGTGGCACTACATCTTCCTCCGGCAATAGAATGGTAACAGCTTTGCGTATGTAATTGGCGAAGGCTCCATAATCCACTATGGTTACATTCTGTACTGCCTCCACCGAAGTATCGGGATTTTCCAAAGAATCACCCATAAGGAAACTCTTATAATTTCACTATTTTAATGTTTTTGAGTATTTTTAAAAAGAATTAAATAAGATTTTTTTTCTTTTTGCAAATTTTTTCACGGAGCGTCGATTGATTACGTCCGCACTTCGGGTGAAAATTCAATCGACTGTGCAAAAAATGGCGTCGAGAGATGCCAGGTGAAATTTATTAATATAAAGTTGAATTGTACGGGGAAATGGTAGTTCATGTTTTTGGACTTTTCTTTATTTTATTAATTACAGACACTAATTTGATGAATTAAACTAATATTTATTTTATGTAGATGCCACATTTCCATATTTTGAATTTTTGAAACTTTGCAGTTTTCTAAATAAAATTAATTACAAAATTATTAGTTAAAATTTCCTGTAATGCGTACAACTGTAAGCAAAAGTATGGTAACATAATCTATTACTAGCTTGCAGAGTTGCATTATTTCATATGAAATTTGTAAGAGATTATAGGTAAATGTGGGTATTTTATGGATATTATAGCAACGAACTTTTTATTTTTAAATATAAATTTCTTTCTTAAAGTCTGTAGATACAAATGTTATATCTAGGACGTCGCATCTTACAAAATTGAAATTTTTATAAAAATTATAACAAATGTTAGAAAATCTCCTATTGGCTATTAGTTTTAAGAAAAAATTATATAGATTCCGTCTTTTCTAGAGAGTTTTCGATGAAATCTCTACACATTTATGAAATATTTCTTATAAATTCTCTATTTATAGACAATTTTTGATAAAGTTTATATTTTATTTTCGTGAGCTGAGTGGATATTTTCTAGTAAAAATAATACTGATATTAATTTAAAATAACTTGAACCGTATATTGGTTAATTTCGGTAACGTAATTTTAGCGTTAACGGTATTTTGGCTTATGCGGTAACGAGAAAAAGCTTATCGGTACCAATTCCCCTTCACCTATAAGCAAGTTTCTTTTATTAAAACGTCGAATATGTATTTACATTTTATAAATTTTTAAAGCTTAAATTTCCCGGAAAACATTTCGAATTGTTGCATTATTTGTTCCAAAGGCCTATTTTTATCCAAGCACGTAAAAACAAAATTCTCACCAATTTATATACATATACATATTAGGGTTCTATAGTTGAAACGAAAAGTCGACTTTTCGACTTTTTGCATTTAGTTAAAAGTCGACTTTTCGACCTTTCGACTTTTTCCATTATGTGAAAAGTCGATTTTTCGACTTTTCGACCTTTTTCATTTATTTAAAAGTCGACTTTTAGACTTTTCGACTTTTAGTATTTTATAAATGGTCGACTTTTCGACTTTTTTCGACTTTTCGACTTTTTTCGACTTTTTCCGACTTTTCGACTTTTTCCGACTTTTTTCGACAAAAAGTCGATTGTTCGATTATTCGAAAGTCGATTTATAGAACCCTAATACATATATAACAGATTTTCTTAATTATCTTATACAATATTAGTAATACAAAAAAAATTAAAATTCATCTATATTTTCTTTTGAAAAGAGCAGACAGATATCTGGTACTTTTTCAAAATGTGTAACAAAGGTGATTTTAGTACCTTTTTGGCCCTTTATAACTTTTCAACTAATAAACACAGTAATAATTTTGTACATACATTGGTTCGAAAAACATCAGACACCTGTTTCGTACTTTTTTTAAAATTAGTACGATTTAATTAAAGAACTCAAAAAGTTTATTTCAATCTGTTAATGGATCCATACATGTGAATATAAGCATTACTTTTTTATTTAATATTACACACTGCGTTTATTTTATAGCAAATAATTTAATTTCCTCTCAATCCTATTTTCATTATCAAAAAATTGGCAACCTTGTATTAACCCCAATCTGTTACAAAACATCAGTAAAACAGCTGCTTGCTGCAAAGTGAAAGCATCAGCTGTTTCATAGATTTTGTTGAAAACGCCGCTGCTCTGATATTTAACGTAGTTGAATTAGTTGAAAAATATTAAATTTTGTTAATAAATTCTAAATTAAAAATAAAATAAAATGCCAATCTTACTTAAGTCACGTTGGCTACAACATGTTGGCAGAATTTGTCAAAAAAGATGGTTGACACAGACATGTACCGGAGTCAAAGTAAGTTTACAATGATTTGCCACTAGATGATGCAACTTTAAAATGTGTTTTTTGTATTCCCGGCAGGATTTGGAATTGACTAATGATATCAAACATAAGATCGAGAAACATTGGCGAAATACGTTAAATGAGGGAAAATTCAATTACCAAAATTTGGATAAGAAATTCTATGTGTTGTCTATGTTTCCTTATCCCTCTGGTAATTTGCACATGGGTCATGTGAGGGTTTACACTATCAGTGATACAGTGGCACGTTTTCAACGGATGTGTGGTCTGAATGTTTTCCAACCCATAGGCTGGGATGCATTTGGCTTGCCGGCTGAAAATGCGGCCATACAAAGAGGCATTGCGCCCAAGGACTGGACTGAAAAGAATATACAACAAATGAAAACACAACTAGAAAATTTGGGTTGTTCATTCGATTGGAAACATGAATTGTCCACCTGTAGTCCTGAATACTATAAATGGACTCAGAAATTATTTTTAATGTTGCATAAAGAGGGATTGGCTTATCAGAATGAGGCTTTGGTCAATTGGGATCCGGTAGATAAAACGGTATTGGCTGATGAACAAGTGGATGCCAATGGCTGTTCCTGGCGTTCGGGAGCGAAAGTAGAAAAGAAGCTGCTAAAGCAATGGTTTATTAAGACTACCGCTTTTGCTCAACAGCTGTTAGAGGGTTTGGATGATCCCATTTTAAGAGATTGGCGTGATATTATAAATTTACAAAGACATTGGATAGGAGAATGTGATGGTTATGGTTTCCAGCTATTTACATCGCAAGCTAGTTCTCTAAGAGTATGGACTCAGCATCCTGAACATCTTAAGGATCCCAATGCTTTTGTGGTTTTAAAAACAAATCATTATTTAGCTAAAGCCAAAGATAATGCTTTCAATATGACTATAGAAAATCCTTTTACTGGCACCATAATGCCCGTCATTTTCAGTGATACACCCACCTTTGCTGATAAATGTGATGTTTATTTGGCAGCGCCTAGTTTTAGAGAGGAAGATAAAGAACTGCAAGAGTCTCTAAGTCTCTCGTTCTTTGCTGATGAAGAATTCAATGCCGACAATCACAATAAGGAAATGTTGAGAAAAGAAGTACTAGAGGCTGCTCAAAGATTAAAAATTGGTGGTTATAAAGTTTCCTCCAAATTAAACGATTGGCTAATATCACGCCAAAGATATTGGGGCACCCCTATACCCATGATAAATTGTGACAAATGTGGTGTAGTGCCAGTACCCGATGAACAGCTTCCTGTTATATTGCCCGAAAAATTGATACACGAAAAAAATCGTGAGGACTCGCTAAAATGTTCTTGTCCAAAATGTAACAATCCCAATGCCATAAGAGAATCGGATACTATGGATACTTTTGTCGACAGTTCCTGGTATTATTTACGCTACTTGGATCCTCACAATACAAAAGAGATTTTTGATAAAAATATTATAGCAGAATCAATGCCGGTCGATTTGTATATAGGCGGCAAAGAGCATGCTGTTTTGCATTTATACTACGCACGTTTTATGAATCATTTTCTACATTCTCTCGGCCTGGTATCTAGTTCAGAACCATTTTCTCGCTTACTTGTACAGGGTATGGTAATGGGACGATCTTTTCGAGTTAAAGGCAGTGGCCGTTATGTACAGGAACATGAGGTAGATATTGTTAATGCCAAGAAAAATCAAGCTGTTTTAAAGGAGACAAAAGAGCCAGTCGTTATGACTTGGGAGAAAATGTCGAAGTCAAAAATGAATGGTGTAGATCCGGGTGATATGTTTAAGGAATATGGTACCGATACAACAAGACTGATAATTTTAGCTGATGTAGCGCCGACTTCTCATAGAAATTGGTCCAGTGCAAGTAAGTATTAAGAGCTTTTATTCAGAAATTTATTTATAGTAATTTTTAATTTTTCCTTTTGTCTTCTTTCTTAAAAGCATTCCCTGGAATTCTTAATTGGCAAAAACGTTTGTGGCTGACGGTAAATGAGTTCTGCGAATTGCGTTCCTCCACAGATGATTCACAAATTGATATCAACTCAAATGAATTCCAAGCTGAAGATGAAAAATTATTTGATGCTAGAAATTTCTATGTAAAAGGAGCCACATTTAACTACAGACACACACATCAACTTAGTGTTGCTATCTCGAAAATGCAGGGATTAACTAATTCCTTAAGAGTAAGTTTACATAATTACGAAGCGAAAACGGAATTAATTTTGCTTTATTATTTTTTCCTACACAGCGAACTCCCAAACACATTATACGCTATGGCAAACATTACGAACGTGCCTTAGCCGCCCAAATCATTATGCTTGCACCCATGGCACCACACTTTGCCTCAGAATTATGGTCTAAATTTGCCTCTGCTCCACAACGTCTTAATACATCGGCTACCGAGCTGCAATGGGACAAAGATGTACTCTCGCAACAGTGGCCAGAAATCGATCAAAACTATCAATTGGATTTAGCCATTAAAGTAAATGGTTTTGAAAATTGTTGCATTAAAATACCACGTAGTCATATTGACAAAGTAACTCATAATGATGCATTAGATCTGGCATTTAATACGGATTCTGTAACGTCCTACTTAATCGATAAGAAAATACGTACAACTAATTTTGTATTGTATCCGGGCATTGAAGCGATTTTAAATATTTATGTTGATAAAGTTAAGCAGGAAAAACAATCAAATTCATCGAATACAAGTAATGAAGAAATTGTACATTAGAATAGAAGAACGTCTATTGTTGTTATTAAGTGGATTGATTAATTAATTTATAAGGTGTTGCATATTTAAATTTAAGTTAGTTTTATAAAATAAATAAATGAGCGCAAAATAAAGATGTTACTTTTAAAGAAGTAAGCGAAATGAGATGTTTTTATGAAAAGATTTTTTTTTATAACCGGTTCGTAGGATTGAATTAACTAGTTGGTCAGTACTAAGTTCAGGTTTTTCAAAAAGGCCCATTGTGGCAGAAAGTTCATTTCAGAGGGAAGAAACTTCTGGTTAAAGCAACTGCTTCGAATAGACAATCTGTTCCCGGGTCCGGTGTGCAGATCAGTTAAACATTAATAACACAACTACATTATAAGGAAACGTTCCTTCCCTGGGAAACAATTATCGGTTGCCGCTGCCTTGATTGCTGTTGCCAAAATGTTAAATTGAAAGCAACTGCCTTCGAATAGGCAATCTGTGTCCGGGGCTAAGCCGGTTGTGTCCGGAGTGCAGATCGGTTAAACATTCATAACACAACAACATTATAAATACAAATTTATATTATTTATTAGACATAGTTCTTTCCCGGGGAAACAATTATCGGTTGCCGCAGCCCTGACTGCTGTTGCCAAAATGTATAATGGAAATGTCCGGAAGAAAGATCACCTTTATAAAAACAACATTATTAATCTAATAATAATAAGAATGCAAAAATGTCTGTATGAATTCATCCCGATATCGTTAAAATTAAATTCATAATTTCTCATAAAAAAACAAAATATTTGTTGTGATTTTTTTTGTCATCATAATAAAAAATCTTTTACATTATATTAAAATTACACTAACAACTCCTTTAATCTTTTACAATATTTTCTAATTTTGCCGCTAATTTACTCATTTAATTTGACGTTTTCTTTTAGTTTTAGTTGAAATCGCGTTAGTAAAGACGCTTATTAAAGAATCTCGTTAAAATTATAAATTTTAATAGTTAATAACAAAATTTATTAACTAATTTTTGTTTTCAAGTGTTTTCTAAATGTTTTGTGATAAAAATAAAGTGTTTATTTGAAAATTTGTGAAAAGTTTAAAATTTTATAGTGGTTTAAAGTTTGAAGGTGTTAAAGTATGTATAGTGTTTTGTTGGAAAAGTAGCAACTACTATGTTAGTGCAAAATATAGGTAAAGAAAAAAAAAAAGAGAAAAGAAAAGAAATATGAGAATAAGAAAAAAAGTAAAATTTATTTAGTAAATTATTTAAAATATAAAAATAAAGAAATGCTTAAAGCATTATGGCCTTTTTATAATAAAATAAAAAAAATAGTAGTTGCTTAGAAGTTGTGGTGAAAATTAAAAGTGGTGAAAAATGAAAGTGTTGGAAATTGAATGCGTTACAATAGGCTGGAAGTAACGAAGGAGCTTTTAATGAAAGAGAATTAGAATCTTAGTGCAAAGAAGTAAAGAAAAAAGAGCAAATAAAAGAAATGTGAGAATAAGAAAAAAAAGTAAAATTTATTTAGTAAATTATTTAAAATATAATAAAAATAAAGAAATGCTTAAAGCATTATGGCCTTTTTTTAATAATAAAAATAATATTTGCTTAGAAGTTATGGTGAAAATAAAAAGTGTTGAAAGCTGAAATTGTTACCATAGGTTGAAAGTGCCTATTATTGAAAGAACTTTTAAAGAAAGAGAATTAAAGGTATGTAATGTTTATTTTTTAAGAAATTTACTGAAACACATATGTACATAATATTTAATTTAAGTTTTGGAACTAATATACATTGGGTATAACTCTCCAATTTTGACAAAAATGTTACCACTTATAGGCCTTTTAATTCTATGATTTATGATATATGTCTTTTGGTCAACAAATGTATAGTTATGGAGTTATATACCTTCGAAGTTAAATATATTTATTATCAATATCTTCTCTATTTAAGAACCCATCCGGATAATATATATGTATATCATTAGAAAGAGCTCTGAAATACCTTTTCAACGATATATAATATGATCCTTTTTATTAACCCTTTGAGGACCAATTCCACAAAAAGTATTTTTTATATAGAGTTTTTTGACAAAAATGCCGTTATTTCGTAAATCCATCGATATAACGTTACTGATATAAATTGGAAAAATCGCAGAAGAGATTTCAAGCTTTCATTTGATGTATGAATATATACTAATATCTTAATAAATATAGACGATATTGTAGTTGGAATAAGGTAAAGTAACTAAAATTAATGTTTTTTATTTGATTGTTGTTGTTTTGGCAGGAATTATAACTATATAAAGTACTAAACTAAATATACGTAAAGTATTGAAAATTACATCAAAATACCCTTCCAACGATATATAATAGAAGCTAATTTATTAGCCTATTGAGAAGGATTAATACAAACTGTGCTTTTTATATTAACCTTTGTTAATAAAAGTTCTGTTATATCAAAAATTCATTCATAAGAAGGTACCGATTTATGTTTATTGAGTAAATTGCGATTTTTCTGGGAAATACTCGGAAATGGGTATGTAGCGCCGGACCTGAACAATTTTTTTAAATTTTTTGGGTAATGAAATGTTGTATTTGTAAACCCCCCCAAAAAAAATACATTTTTTTGTGGGTAAACATTCGAAAATTAAATGATAGCGCCGCAGGCGAAAAATTATTTGAAAAAAATCGCGCGATTTTTTTCAAATGAAATTTTGGCACGTACGCATTTAAGTTAAGGACAAAAGGTTTTGAAAACAGTTAAAATTGGTCCATTATTTTACTTAGCCATTATACAACAGAACTGAAGCAGGTTAATTATAGACTTGAGTGTTCTCAATTCGGTTATAAACACTAATATCGAACATAAATTCATCTACCAAATTTTATGCCTCTAGGTCCATATACATACATACATATGTATATGTATATATGTAGCCTCTTTTAAAAATCACAAAAGGTCGTAAAGTCGACTATTCAGTAGTTGCAAAACACCCTAAAGTCGACTTTGAACTGAATTAATTGAAGAAATCATTCTTTTATTTACTCTTACTTTACTGAATTAATTGAAGAAATCATTCTTTTATTTACTCTTTATTTGAACTGTCAAAAGCTTTAGCTTTTGTTGCTTGATCTTCTCTTTCATTAATTCTGCCGCAGTTCTGTCACTTCATTTACACAGAAAATAATAAACAAATTTCTTTAATCTATTACAAATTTTGCATAAAAATCAACCATTTCCTCTTTAAATTCTATTTAAAACATTTCCTCCAGAGATATAAGCCAGTACAAAATGATCGGCGGCGGCGGTGCTACCATTTTTGGTCGGCGGCTTATTATAGAAAATACCGGCGGCGGTTAAATTGTTCAATTTAACTTTTTCTTCAGAAATTGCCCGTATTAACGTTTGTTATATTGAAAAATCTCTGTATAACAGTCTGTTATATACAAACCTGTCCCTATAAAAGTTTTTGCCTGCAGAAAATGCTCATTATTACAGTTATATCTATGAAAAATTTAATTTATAACAACATTTCACTATATGAATATTACCACAATATGATGTGGCAACTAATATGAGTGGCTACGTTTAATCCGGCATATCATAAGGATCAGTTATCTTAATTGAATTATTTAAAATTTTTTTTTCAAAAACAAAATTCACTTTATTTTTGGGTTTAAAAATCGCTCTAAATTTATTTTATCTACTAATTAATGTACTTATATATGTACGTACATATGTATGTAAATATTTGTTTTATAAATAAAAATTGTTATACATATAATTGGTCTATACTCATACTCTGATTATGAGGCTTTAAATTTTATGCATTTTGTCTGTTTTTTCTTTTCCTTCTTAACTTTTAACAAGCAATATGAACACTTTATTACGGTGAATGTAGTTGGATTGCACCAATTAGAAAAGTATAATACGTAATATTATCTGGAATGTATACGAGAGTGGGAAAATTATGTCAACCCTTGTGCTTAATACAGGGACAGATATTTAAAAGAATTTCTACGTTGTTATTTAGTACAAATGTCATTTAAAGAAAACATAACATCAGAAACTAAGTCAGATGTCGTCATCGGTTCATTTCTAGGGCAGTTCTAGATCCGTACTAGTTCATTTCTAGTACGGATCTAGTACGGTTCTAGATCAGTTCTAGTTCAGTTCTATTTCAGTCCTAGTTCAGTTCTAGTTCAGTTCAGTTCTAGTTCAGTTCTAGTTCAGTTCTAGTTCAGTTCTAGTTCAGTTCTAGTTCAGTTCTAGTTCAGTTCTAGTTCAGTTCTAGTTCAGTTCTAGTTCAGTTCTAGTTCAGTTCTAGTTCAGTTCTAGTTCAGTTCTAGTTCAGTTCTAGTTCAGTTCTAGTTCAGTTCTAGTTCAGTTCTAGTTCAGTTCTAGTTCAGTTCTAGTTCAGTTCTAGTTCAGTTCTAGTTCAGTTCTAGTTCAGTTCTAGTTCAGTTCTAGTTCAGTTCTAGTTCAGTTCTAGTTCAGTTCTAGTTCAGTTCTAGTTCAGTTCTAGTTCAGTTCTAGTTCAGTTCTAGTTCAGTTCTAGTTCAGTTCTAGTTCAGTTCTAGTTCAGTTCTAGTTCAGTTCTAGTTCAGTTCTAGTTCAGTTCTAGTTCAGTTCTAGTTCAGTTCTAGTTCAGTTCTAGTTCAGTTCTAGTTCAGTTCTAGTTCAGTTCTAGTTCGTTAGTTCAGTTCTAGTTCAGTTCTAGTTCAGTTCTAGTCAGTTCAGTTCTAGTTCAGTTCTAGTTCAGTTCTAGTTCAGTTCTAGTTCAGTTCTAGTTCAGTTCTAGTTCAGTTCTAGTTCAGTTCTAGTTCAGTTCTAGTTCAGTTCTAGTTCTGTTCTAGTTCAGTTCTAGTTCAGTTTTAGTACAGTTCAGTTCTAGTTCAAATATCTCCGTTTTCCTACCACTCCCACACAAATATCATGCAATTCTCTTAAATCTCTGCACGTATACGATATGCATTTAATATTACTTCATTATTTCCGCCATTAAATTACGTATGTAGACATCTAATTGTGAATAGTCTAATAAGGTATTGCGTACAATGTTTCAACAGCATGGTGGGCCATATTTGTTCCAATTTATGTAGCTTCTCAACCGCATTACATGTATTTTCCATCATTAAGGTAAATGTATTTTACCACGTTCACGTGTTGTTAGAGCAACATTTGGAGATGTCATTGCAGCGGCGGATGATGATGAGGATGCTAAAGTTTGGTTGTAGTAGTTTGTGTGTAAGGTGTCACCGCTATAGTATTGATTCTGTAGATGACGAACTTGCTGGGGTGTTGGCAGGTGCTGACATTCGGGATTATTAGATTTTTTCCACTGTAAAGCTTCTTTACCCACAACTAAACGTAAAGATTTATTATCAGGTTTACGCAGCCATTGTTTGGGTAACAATTTGCTAGCCGTACAAGATTCATCTAGACGTAAGCGGGTTAGTAAAGGCTGTAGCATAGCGTCTGGCATAGACCAGAGTATGAGATCGGAAAGACCGGCATAGATGGCATTTGCCTTTTCAATTTCCTGTACTGTAACCTCAATACCATTTAGGCTCTTAAGACCCCAATGCGATAAACGATATATGGCATATTGGCGCCACAAGTCCTTGTTGGTAATAGGATTTCCCTCTTCATCGATGTTAAGAGAACTAATGCCCTGTAGTTCCGCCAAAGCATTAAGTTGGCCCAAACAGTTAATGTTCGTTTCACGGAATACGAAATTCTCAGCATGTGCAAATCTGACCTTAATGCGTCCCAGTATGGAGGCAATATTATTGAAATTTATGTAGCTGAAATTTAAGGTATGAACATCATTAGCTTTTGTGGGATTCCATTGTTTGTCAATGAAACGTAAAGCACCCTGACCATAAATGTTTAAATAACGACCACAAATTTCGATCAAATAGTCGCCACCCTGCTCGCGTTCCCTTTCAATAGCTGTTAATTTAGTTGAAGTGGCACCACAGGGACCAGCTGTTGTGTTTGTTGCTGATGTTGTTGTGTGCGCTGCAATACCTGTAATACTATTAGAGGCTCCTGTAACCGAAGTCTTATTGGTATTCGATGTTAAGCTTGTATTGTTGCTATTCATAGATGATGCCATTAAGCTATTATTTGTGTAGTTGTTGTTGCTGCTAGCTATTGCACCAGCAATAGAATAACCTGTTGTCGTCGTCGTAGTCGTCATCATCATTGTCGTTGTTATTGTTGCTGCTGTTGTTATTGTTTGGTGAAGTGTGGTTATTGCAGCTGTTTGAGTGGTCGCATTAGGGTTCAGTTTACTTTGGTAACGTATGTTATTCGCTGTGGCAACGGTATTTGTTTTAACCGTATATCCGTTTGTATAACCTCCAATATTACCACCAACACCCACAGCAATACCACCAGCACCTGTTACTGTACCCACAATTGTTTGAGATCTCATTAAACTACCCGTCATATAGCGTTTAGTAAATGTTGCTGATGCTGGAGAAACAACTGCCATAGAAGATGATACCATTGCATTTGTTGCTGCTGTTTGTATGGAGGATATTGAAGATGATACGGATGTTACCGTTGATGTGACTGCTTGATTTTGTTGGTTAGCTGACACTTTGTTAGTTTCCATAGGAAATTGTAAATTTAATGTGGGTGCACAGTTGCTAGCTAACGCTATAGTTGGGGTGTTGCTTGTTTCTGTAGTGGTTGCGCTGTTGCACTGAAAGATGAGATTGTTTATTATTATAAATGTACTTAGTTGCAGATGCATGTAATGATTTTTATAATGTATCAAATTTATTTAGTAAAGGTTAAACGTACCGAGAAGTCTACATTATAGAGTCGCAATGAGGCGATAAGTTTGGATCATTTAAACTGATTAAAGGATCTGCAGTATTTAAGATGGATCCGATATTGAACCCATCACTGTTAAGTGCCGTACTTATGCGGTCAGTCTCCAGATTCTTTTTCTAATGAAGTTCAAGTTCAGTTCTATTTTAGTATCAGGTCAAGTTCAGTTCTAGTTTAATTCAGTTCTTATACAATTCAGTCTTTATATTCCCTTTTCAAATTAATTCAATTTTTAACCGTGTACTTAATCGTTACTAACATGATTGACTCACCTTAGACGATGAATGATGTTGATGCTGATGATTATTGTCAGTTGACGATGTATGATTTATAATATTTTCTATTTGTTTGGATTTCATCGATGACGACGACGATGGTGGTTTATCAATGTGATTTGATGGTTTCTCCGCTTTACTTGTAACCCCAGTGGCATCCAACTCATCTTGTGAACTATAACAGCTGGATGAAGAATTTACATTTGCTCCCAAACTAGAAGCGGAAGATGAACGTTCCTCAGTCTCCTCCTTATTTGTAGGCCCTTCGGTAATTTGTTGACTTTCAATGGGTGGCAATTTAATAAATTCTTCATAATTATTTTCATTGGTTTCCGTAATTTTTTCCAATTCCGTATTCGGTTTATTTATGGCCTTCTGTTGCTTTAAAGAGTTCTGCACCATTTGCTGTGACCTTAAGAGTTCCCAATTGGTACGTGCATTCGATATAATTTCTTCTCTACGTATAATATTGAATACCTCCCTGTTACTTAGGTTGCTATTAGCATCCGATAATTCCTTATTAGCACGCCAAGTCATAGCAGCTTTTCTCACCTGTTCGGTTATGGGCATTTGACTAAGTGTTTGCAATTTGGGTAAGTAACTGACTAGAAACGAAACACAATCACCAGCCAGTGTTAGGGGATTATTTTCTATGGTTATTTCAACTAAGTTTTGTGCCTTCGCTATTGATGCCATATCATCTACCTTGTGCAAATCGTTGTGACACAACCATAAGCGCTCTAATGCCAAAAGATGTTGAAAGCCATTGATACGTTTTAGTTTATTGCGTTTCAAATTCAATTCCTTGAGATTGTGCAGGCCCATAAAGTCATTGTGATTTATTTGTCTTATTTGATTGCCAGCCAAATTAAGTGATTTTAACTCCTTAAGACAATTGATTTTGTTCGAAATGGAACATAATTTATTACCATGCAGATCTAAAACACGTAAAGTTGATTTTAAAGACGCCAGGCCAGTAATGTCAGATATGCGATTTTTGCCCAGCAGAAGTACTGTTAAGGCAGGCAAACCGTCCAGATTTGAAACACGTTCTATTTGATTGTCATACAAATCCAAAAATACCAAATTTTGGAAGATATTGCCATAACTAATAATCAATTGTTTATTCTTAATTGCCAAAGGGGAATATGTGTTAGAACGCCTGTCTTCCTCTTCGTCATCTTCCACTAGAGATTCGTCAACTTCAGTTGTTAGTAAAGTAGATTGTGTAGAATCTGTTGTTATGTTGCTGGTGGAAGAATCAAAACTTTTTAAATTTCCCAAAGCGTCTGTCCTCTTCAAGAAAGCGGTCTTTTGATTTTGCATGGAACGTTTAGTTAAATTTAACTGCAAATTTAAATTACTAACAAAACTTTTCGATTTACGCATACCAAAACGTAATTGAGCCGGATGTTGCAAGTTGCTTTTGTGGTTATTCACTTGGCAATTGTTCATATTAATAGATCTGTGCAGCAGTTTGTTGCGTTGCAATATGTAACTACCAAAAGTCATGGGGTTTGTAAGGGGTGGTGGTGCATTCAAAGGCAACATCAACTGGCCAGGTACTTGTGGTTGCAATTGTTCTACATTTGGTTTGGCCACAGCTAAAGGTAATCTTTGTTTGTTATTGTAAAAATGTTGATGATGTTGATGAGTTTGGTTTCCTAAAATATTTAGTTCTGCATTCCTACAAGAAATACCATTAATTACTTGTTCTCTGGTGGCTGTTTCCGTTTCAGCTGTTACTTGCTCTTCCTCCGGCACTTCATCTTGTTCTTTGGGTATGTGAAATGTATTTATGAGATTATGCTGCAGGGATAACAATCTAAGATTTGTTTCATTTTCAAATATGGGTATCGCGGTCAGACCACGTTTATCGTAATTTATACGATCTGGTAGTTTTTCTAGTTCCTTGATATTGCGTTGTATGCGACAGATGCCATTTGACTGCTGTACTACAATGGCAGAGTATGGCGAGGCACATGGTGTGCCTCCTAAAGGCGTGGCACTTACAGCAACACCCGCTGTTATGGGACGATTTGAGTTGGAGTTTGATGATGAGGTCGATTTGGAACGTTGTCTATTTATTGGACCTCTTAAGGCCGGTCGTCTACGCAACGTTGTTGTGCTTATTGTAGTTGTTGGTTGTCTTAATACTTTAGGCAAACCGTTAATTACACTATTCATTCCCTTAATATTGCCTGCAACTCTTGCTCCAGCTAATGTTTTTGCATGTTTTTGTATTTCTAGTTGATTAACTAAGTTTTTATTTACATGTTGGATGTTGTGTTTTTTTAAAGTTGTATTCGATAAAGTACTATAAGAACGTCGTATAGTTTTTTGTGGTCGATTTGTAAGACTAGGAACAAATGGTTCTATTTTCAGCAAATTTGTTTGAGGTAATATTGTTGTTGGTGTTGTCGTTGATGTTATTGCTGTAGATGAAGATGATGGTACTGCTGCTGAGTGTACTGCGTAAAAAAATGGATTTTGAAATTACTACACCATTTCTACTTTATCGTATAAGATTTAGTTCAGTTCTAGTTCAGTTTTAGTTTAGTTCTAATTCAGTTCTAGTTCAGTTCTAGATCAGTACTAGTTCAGTTCTAGTTCTAGTTCAGTTCTAGTTCAGTTCTAGTTCAGTTCTAGTTCAGTTCTAGTTCAGTTCTAATTCAGTTCTAGTTCTGTTCTAGTTCTGTTCTAGTTCTGTTCTACTTCAGTTCTAGTTCAGTTCTAGTTCAGTTCTAGTTCAGTTCTAGTTCAGTTCTAGTTCAGTTCTAGTTCAGTTCTAGTTCAGTTCTAGTTCAGTTCTAGTTCAGTTCTAATTCAGTTCTAGTTCAGTTCTAGTTCAGTTCTAGTTCAGTTCTAGTTCAGTTCTAGTTCAGTTCTAGTTCAGTTCTAGTTCAGTTCTAGTTCAGTTCTAGTTCAGTTCTAGTTCAGTTCTAGTTCAGTTCTAGTTCAGTTCTAGTTCAGTTCTAGTTCAGTTCTAGTTCAGTTCTAGTTCAGTTCTAGTTCAGTTCTAGTTCAGTTCTAGTTCAGTTCTAGTTCAGTTCTAGTTCAGTTCTAGTTCAGTTCTAGTTCAGTTCTAGTTCAGTTCTAGTTCTAGTTCAGTTCTAGTTCAGTTCTAGTTCAGTTCTAGTTCAGTTCTAGTTCAGTTCTAGTTCAGTTCTAGTTCAGTTCTAGTTCAGTTCTAGTTCAGTTCTAGTTCAGTTCTAGTTCAGTTCTAGTTCAGTTCTAGTTCAGTTCTAGTTCAGTTCTAGTTCAGTTCTAGTTCAGTTCTAGTTCAGTTCTAGTTCAGTTCTAGTTCAGTTCTAGTTCAGTTCTAGTTCAGTTCTAGTTCAGTTCTAGTTCAGTTCTAGTTCAGTTCTAGTTCAGTTCTAGTTCTAGTTCAGTTCTAGTTCAGTTCTAGTTCAGTTCTAGTTCAGTTCTAGTTCTAGTTCAGTTCTAGTTCAGTTCTAGTTCAGTTCTAGTTCAGTTCTAGTTCAGTTCTAGTTCAGTTCTAGTTCAGTTCTAGTTCAGTTCTAGTTCAGTTCTAGTTCAGTTCTAGTTCAGTTCTAGTTCAGTTCTAGTTCAGTTCTAGTTCAGTTCTAGTTCAGTTCTAGTTCTAGTTCAGTTCTAGTTCAGTTCTAGTTCAGTTCTAGTTCAGTTCTAGTTCAGTTCTAGTTCAGTTCTAGTTCAGTTCTAGTTCAGTTCTAGTTCAGTTCTAGTTCAGTTCTAGTTCAGTTCTAGTTCAGTTCTAGTTCAGTTCTAGTTCAGTTCTAGTTCAGTTCTAGTTCAGTTCTAGTTCAGTTCTAGTTCAGTTCTAGTTCAGTTCTAGTTCAGTTCTAGTTCAGTTCTAGTTCAGTTCTAGTTCAGTTCTAGTTCAGTTCTAGTTCAGTTCTAGTTCAGTTCTAGTTCAGTTCTAGTTCAGTTCTAGTTCAGTTCTAGTTCAGTTCTAGTTCAGTTCTAGTTCAGTTCTAGTTCAGTTCTAGTTCAGTTCTAGTTCAGTTCTAGTTCAGTTCTAGTTCAGTTCTAGTTCAGTTCTAGTTCAGTTCTAGTTCAGTTCTAGTTCAGTTCTAGTTCAGTTCTAGTTCAGTTCTAGTTCAGTTCTAGTTCAGTTCTAGTTCAGTTCTAGTTCAGTTCTAGTTCAGTTCTAGTTCAGTTCTAGTTCAGTTCTAGTTCAGTTCTAGTTCAGTTCTAGTTCAGTTCTAGTTCAGTTCTAGTTCAGTTCTAGTTCAGTTCTAGTTCAGTTCTAGTTCAGTTCTAGTTCAGTTCTAGTTCAGTTCTAGTTCAGTTCTAGTTCAGTTCTAGTTCAGTTCTAGTTCAGTTCTAGTTCAGTTCTAGTTCAGTTCTAGTTCAGTTCTAGTTCAGTTCTAGTTCAGTTCTAGTTCAGTTCTAGTTTAGTTTTAGCTAAGTTCTAGTTCAGTTCTAGTTCAGTTCTAGTTCAGTTCTAGTTCAGTTCTAATTCAGTTCTAGTTCAGTTCTAGTTCAGTTCTAGTTCAGTTCAAGTTCAGTTCAAGTTCAGTTCAAGTTCAGTTCTAGTTCAGTTCTAGTTCAGTTCTAGTTCAGTTCTAGTTCAGTTCTTTCAGTTCTAGTTCAGTTCTAGTTCAGTTCTAGTTCAGTTCTAGTTTAGTTCTAGTTCAGTTCTAGTTCAGTTCTAGTTCAGTTCTAGTTCAGTTCTAGTTCAGTTCTAGTTCAGTTCTAGTTCAGTTCTAGTTCAGTTCTAGTTCAGTTCTAGTTCAGTTCTAGTTCAGTTCTAGTTCAGTTCTAGTTCAGTTCTAGTTCAGTTCTAGTTCAGTTCTAGTTCTGTTCTAGTTCTGTTCTAGTTCAGTTCTAGTTCAGTTCTAGTTCAGTTTTAGTTCAGTTCTAGTTAAGTTGTTATTGTTTTAGTTCAGTTTAAGTTAAGTTGTTTTTTGTTATAGTTCAGTTCTAGTTCTATTTTGATTATAAATAGAAATAGTGTAGTAGTACTTAAGGATGTCGTTGCTATTGCTGCTGTTGTAGTATTTAAAGCTTTTCCTTGCTTATTTGTTGTATTTGCTGATGATGACAATGGTAATATTTTGGCTTTATTTTGGTCATTCTGTTTGGGTGATCCTCTCATAAAGGACGATGATAAAGATGATGTTTCATATGGTGTTGCTGATGTTGAAGCTGTGGTAGTTGTTGTTGTTGTTGAATTTTTTGTTCCCTTAAGTGGTAGTGTTGTGGTTTTTGTTGCAGTTTCTTTAATAGTCTTGTCATTATGTTTTATTACGGCCGATTTTACTCGTATTTTCGAAATAGACATTTCATTAAAAATGACTTCTTTTGTCTTGTTTGTTTTTCGTTCTATAAATATTGGTTTTGGTTTATTCCTTTGTTGGTTTCATAATCCTTGCTGCTATTTGTTTATACATACATTTTTATCAACTGCAAATATTTTATTTTCATTTATTAGAGGAGTTTTTCTAAAAGTTTTAATATTTTATTTTTTTAGCTCTTACCTTTGTTGCTATTTTTATAGTTTCTTCTTTGTTAAACTTTGTAAATAAGTTATTAAATAAAACAATTGTATCCTTTTGCTTTTTATTTACAATTTATTTCATTTATTTGTTTGTTATCTAAACTCTATATAAAAGTATGTTTTATTTGAACACAACATTTCTTTAAACTATATTTATTTTATATTTCTTTAAAAATCATTTTTCTGTTGTTTAATATTTATTTCTTTCGTTGAAATACTTCTTGCTAGTATCTAGTATTTTTATTAGTTTGTTTATTCGGGTTATATGGTAGCATACGGTTGCTATAGTTTGAAATAGAGTTTATTTAATATTTCATTGTTGTTGTCTTCTTTTCTGTCAATTCGAATGAGTTTTTTTTCATTGTGTGTTGTTCTAATATGGAAAGTCTTGAGGAAAACTAAAGTAATCAAAAAGTATATCTAATAATACTGATACTAAGGATGTCATTAAATTAAAGACTTTAGACAGAAAACTGTAGCATTAAAATTCTATTAATGTTTTTTTATTTTCGAAATTTGCAATGTCAGCTGTTAGTTTAAGGTCTTTTAAATAAGATCACTTTCAATAAATTGCTTCTGTTTTGGTCTTTACTGTAAGGACATACATAAGTACGTAACTTGATGATTGAATTAGAAATTACTTAACAAATGTAAACAATTGAAGTTACACAAATATGTATGTATTTATGTACGTCAACTTTTGAAGACATCACTCAGTACATTTTTTCATATCAGCCGTAGTTCAGTTCTTGTTGAAAACTAGTTCATTTTTAGTTGAAAAGTAGCAGTTCCAGTTCAGTTTTAGTTCATTCCTAGTTCAGTTCTAGTTCAGCTCTAGTTCAGTTCTAGTTCAGTTCTATTTCAGTTCTCTTTCAGTTCTAGTTCAGTTCTAGTTCAGTTCTAGTTCAGTTCTAGTTCAGTTCTAGTTCAGTTCTAGTTCAGTTCTAGTTCAGTTCTAGTTCAGTTCTAGTTCAGTTCTAGTTCAGTTCTAGTTCAGTTCTAGTTCAGTTCTAGTTCAGTTCTAGTTCAGTTCTAGTTCAGTTCTAGTTCAGTTCTAGTTCAGTTCTAGTTCAGTTCTAGTTCAGTTCTAGTTCAGTTCTAGTTCAGTTCTAGTTCAGTCTAGTTCAGTTCTAGTTCAGTTCTAGTTCAGTTCTAGTTCAGTTCTAGTTCAGTTCTAGTTCAGTTCTAGTTCAGTTCCAGTTCAGTTCTAGTTCAGTTCTAGTTCAGCTCTAGTTCAGTTCTAGTTCAGTTCTAGTTCAGTTCTAGTTCAGTTCTAGTTCAGTTCTAGTTCAGTTCTAGTTCAGTTCTAGTTCAGTTCTAGTTCAGTTCTAGTTCAGTTCTAGTTCAGTTCTAGTTCAGTTCTAGTTCAGTTCTAGTTCAGTTCTAGTTCAGTTCTAGTTCAGTTCTAGTTCAGTTCTAGTTCAGTTCAGTTCAGTTCAGTTCTAGTTCAGTTCTAGTTCAGTTCTAGTTCAGTTCTAGTTTCTAGTTCGGTTCTAGTTCAGTTCAGTTCTAGTTCAGTTCAGTTCTAGTTCAGTTCTAGTTCAGTTCTAGTTCAGTTCTAGTTCAGTTCTAGTTCAGTTCTAGTTCAGTTCTAGTTCAGTTCTAGTTCAGTTCTAGTTCAGTTCTAGTTCAGTTCTAGTTCAGTTCTAGTTCAGTTCTAGTTCAGTTCTAGTTCAGTTCTAGTTCAGTTCTAGTTCAGTTCTCTAGTTCAGTTCTAGTTCAGTTCTAGTTCAGTTCTAGTTCAGTTCTAGTTCAGTTCTAGTTCAGTTCTAGTTCAGTTTCTAGTTCAGTTCTAGTTCAGTTCTAGTTCAGTTCTAGTTCAGTTCTAGTTCAGTTCTTTCTAGTTCAGTTCTAGTTCAGTTCTAGTTCAGTTCTAGTTCGGTTCTAGTTCAGTTCAGTTCTAGTTCAGTTCTAGTTCAGTTCTAGTTCAGTTCTAGTTCAGTTCTAGTTCAGTTCTAGTTCAGTTCTAGTTCAGTTCTAGTTCAGTTCTAGTTCAGTTCTAGTTCAGTTCTAGTTCAGTTCTAGTTCAGTTCTAGTTCAGTTCTAGTTCAGTTCTAGTTCAGTTCTAGTTCAGTTCTAGTTCAGTTCTAGTTCAGTTCTAGTTCAGTTCTAGTTCAAGTTCTAGTTCAGTTCTAGTTCAGTTCTAGTTCAGTTCTAGTTCAGTTCTAGTTCAGTTCTAGTTCAGTTCTAGTTCAGTTCTAGTTCAGTTCTAGTTCAGTTCTAGTTCAGTTCTAGTTCAGTTCTAGTTCAGTTCTAGTTCAGTTCTAGTTCAGTTCTAGTTCAGTTCTAGTTCAGTTCTAGTTCAGTTCTAGTTCAGTTCTAGTTCAGTTCTAGTTCAGTTCTAGTTCAGTTCTAGTTCAGTTCTAGTTCAGTTCTAGTTCAGTTCTAGTTCAGTTCTAGTTCAGTTCTAGTTCAGTTCTAGTTCAGTTCTAGTTCAGTTCTAGTTCAGTTCTAGTTCAGTTCTAGTTCAGTTCTAGTTCAGTTCTAGTTCAGTTCTAGTTCAGTTCTAGTTCAGTTCTAGTTCAGTTCTAGTTCAGTTCTAGTTCAGTTCTAGTTCAGTTCTAGTTCAGTTCTAGTTCAGTTCTAGTTCAGTTCTAGTTCAGTTCTAGTTCAGTTCTAGTTCAGTTCTAGTTCAGTTCTAGTTCAGTTCTAGTTCAGTTCTAGTTCAGTTCTAGTTCAGTCTAGTTCAGTTCTAGTTCAGTTCTAGTTCAGTTCTAGTTCAGTTCTAGTTCAGTTCTAGTTCAGTTCTAGTTCAGTTCTAGTTTCACGTTCTAGTTCCGTTCTAGTTCAGTTCTAGTTCAGTTCTAGTTCAGTTCTAGTCAGTTCTAGTTCAGTCTAGTTCAGCTCTAGTTCAGTTCTAGTTCAGTTCTAGGTCAGTTCTAGTTCAGTTCTAGTTCAGTTCTAGTTCAGTTCTAGTTCAGTTCTAGTTCAGTTCTAGTTCAGTTCTAGTTCAGTTCTAGTTCAGTTCTAGTTCAGTCTAGTTCATTCCAGTTTCAGTTTAGTTCAGTTCTAGTTCAGTTCTAGTTCAGGTCTAGTTCAGTCTATGTCAGTTCTAGTTCAGTTCTAGTTCAGTTCTAATTCTAGTTCTAGTTCAGTGCTAGTTTAGTTCTAGTCAGTTCTAGTTCAGTTCTAGTTCTTTTCTAGTTCTGTTCTAGTTCTGTTCTAGTTCTGTTGTAGTTCTGTTCTAGTTCAGTTCTGTTCTAGTTCTGTTCTAGTTCTGTTCTAGTTCTGTTCTAGTTCTGTTCTAGTTCTGTTCTAGTTCTGTTCTAGTTCTGTTCTAGTTCTGTTCTAGTTCTGTTCTAGTTCTGTTCTAGTTCTGTTCTAGTTCTGTTCTAGTTCTGTTCTAGTTCTGTTCTAGTTCTGTTCTAGTTCTGTTCTAGTTCTGTTCTAGTTCTGTTCTAGTTCTGTTCTAGTTCTGTTCTAGTTCTGTTCTAGTTCTAGTTCTGTTCTTGTTCTGTTCTATTTCTGTTCTAGTTCTGTTCTAGTTCTGTTCTAGTTCTGTTTCTAGTTCTGTTCTAGTTCTGTTCTAGTTCTGTTCTAGTTCTGTTCTAGTTCTGTTCTAGTTCTGTTCTAGTTCTGTTCTAGTTCTGTTCTAGTTCTGTTCTAGTTCTGTTCTAGTTCTGTTCTAGTTCTGTTCTAGTTCTGTTCTAGTTCAGTTCTAGTTCTTTCTAGTTCTGTTCTAGTTCTGTTCTAGTTCTAGTTCTAGTTCTTTCAGTTTTCTAGTTTTATTCTAGTTCAGTTCTGTTCTAGTTCTGTTCTAGTTCGTTCTAGTTCTGTTCTAGTTCTGTTCTTTCTGTTCTAGTTCATAGTCAGTTCTGTTCTTCTAGTCTTTCTAGTTCTGTTCTAGTTCTGTTCTAGTTCTGTCTAGTTCTGTTCTAGGTTCTGTTCTAGTTCTATTCTTAGTTCTAGTTCTAGTTACTGTATCTCGTTCTGGTCTAGTTCTGTGTTCTAGTGCTGTTCTAGTTCTGTTTCTAGTTCTGTTCTAGTTCTGTTCTATTTCTGTTCTAGTTCTGTTCTAGTTTCTGTTCTAGTTCTGTTCTAGTTCTGTTCTAGTTCGGTTCTAGTTCTGTTCTAGTTCTGTTCTAGTTCTGTTCTAGTTCTGTTCTAATTATCTGTTCTAGTTTCTGTTCTAGTTCTGTTCTAGTTCTGTTCTAGTTCTGCTTCTAGTTCGGTTCTAGTTCTGTTCTAGTTCTGTTCTAGTTCTGTTCAGTTCTGTTCTAGTTCTGTTCTAGTTCTGTTCTAGTTCTTGCTGTTCTAGTTCTGTTCTAGTTCTGTTCTAGTTCTGTTCTAGTTCTGTTCTAGTTCTGTTCTAGTTCTGTTCTAGTTCTGTTCTAGTTCTGTTCTAGTTCTGTTCTAGTTCTGTTCTAGTCTGTTCTAGTTTCTGTTCTAGTTCTGTTCTAGTTCTGTTAGTTCTTCTAGTTCTGTTCTAGTTCTGTTCTATTCTGTTCTAGTTCTGTTCTAGTTCTGTTCTAGTTCTGTTCTAGTTCTGTTCTAGTTTCATAGTTCTGTTCTAATTCTAGTTTTTTTTTTTTTTTTAATATCGACGCAATTGTTTTAGTTCAGTTCTAGTTCAGTTTTAGTTTAGGCTCTAGGTCAGTTCTAGTTCAGCTCTACTTCTAGTTGTTCATTAAATATTCGCCCAATTGTTAAAATAGTGATCACATATGGTATGTAGCTAAATATATTCTCTACATTAATCGAATTTTCTCAATGAACATACATAAATAAGTACATATAGGTTTAATCGCGAAAAAGGTGATAAACATCTACATACTTGTTTTTCCTCTAGTCCCTGAAACTTTGTAAAAAAATAGCTGGTATTTTTGCGAAATATTTCTACCATTTATCTTATTGGGTAAATAAAAATAATTCAAATTGACAATTATTCATATCAAGTAACTACCACCAGTTTATACATATTTATTTAAATGTTGATAAATATTTATTTATTTTGCTTTTACAAGATTAATAATTAATACGATTGCGAGTGAAGTACATCTTATTACTCATCGTACTTACTCTAGCCAATATTACTTGTTGTATTCAGTGAGTGGTCACTGGAAAACAAACCATAAAACATACAACATTCGTAAATAATTATGTATGTACTACGTTGGTTATTTGGTCCATACGATAATGAGACACTTTTCGTGTTACATGATGAATGGTATTTAAATTGTGGTTTTATGTCTTTACTTTCTCATTCAGTCGTACAGACATTAAATATTTTTGCCATCATCTTCCTTTCACTTTGACATTGAATGACTCATTATAAATAATTGCTATCAGTAAATAAATATATAGTACAGCTTTTGGGCAAGTTTTATTCTTTATCCCGTTGTCGGGTTTTTAATAATATATATATATATATGTATGTATACTTTTATTATGGACCTTCAACAATGTATGAGTATTTGCAAACATTTGCATGTAACATTTTAAGGGAAAAAAATTACAACAACTTATTGCCGGCGGTCTTTGTAAGCTTTAAAAGCATTGTCAATAAGGAAAGGAGAATTTACTCAGGACTAGTCAAGTTATAGGTTCCTAGGGCATAGTTCTAGTTTTTTTTTGGAAATCATGAACAAGTTGTAAGTGTTGCTAACATAATTTAAAAACTATAGGGTATTTGCAAGTCTTTCAGTTCACTCTGATTAACCAACTTCTTTTATTTCCGAAATGATATTGACATTGTTTAAAAATAAAAATTATTTAATATAAAAAACACAAATAATAATTAATATTCATATCAATATAGAACAAAAGAATGAAGGGTTTCGAACAGTGTTGATAATAAACAACAGAATGAAAATTTCTTTAAATATTAAATGTAGAGGAAATATTGATGCATTCAAGCGTTGTAAGTAATCTTCGCAAGCAGAGAAAAACCATTACCATATACATTATTATCATTAAAAATATATGTATGTACTTGGTAAAGAGTCCTATATTATGTTGCTTTTGGACATTTGTGCTTTTTTAAAAAGGAATGCAAATGCTATTCAGTATTCAGCCTTTTCTACAGGAAAAGTCATAGCATCTGTCCTAAAACTGAAATTTCAAGGACTTTATGTTGATTGAATATTGAGATCTTGAATATAAACTGGATTCTTATTGAACTGGAAAATATAGGGATAAAGGTTGTTATAATAATAATGTTTGTAGACCAGATTAGCGTCATTATGCCTAATGCTTAGTAGTTATGCCTTAGATAGTGGTCTAGAAGTATAATAAATCTAAGCAACACCAACTGGCACTATTCATATCCGGGACCAAAATTCCAAACTTCAACTCTAAACTATCATGGAAACTGAACATCAAGCAGCTACAGTGGCCTACTAATTTTGTCGTAAGATGTTCGTCCTATTCTTATACATAGATCTCTGGTACGGTGGACTTGAGCTAAAAAAAATATATTGGAATAACAGGTGAACTAGTCCTTATCTGCCTGCAGTTCCAGATGTTGGACATCGAGAACATAACAGAGATTTTTTCAACCTTTTTGACTACATATTTAGTAATTGAACAAAAAATGGGCGGAATCAATGGTGGGTGTGACAGTTCTGTTGACTGCAAAGTTCTATTGATTATTTCATGGAGTAATCTATTGATTAGACTGTGGTCCATATTATGGCTTGGTCTACTGAGTAGTCTGTAGAATAGTTCAGTGCTACTTTTGATTTATTTAAGAAACCTTAAAACATTTCTAAAAAAATGTAAGTGATCACACTTTATGATCATGTCGGCAACAGAGAAGTGTACATTGTCGTGATCACATGTTTATACATCGATCACAAGTTATATTTTGCTAATAAGACCTTTGAAAAAGTAGGGTGTAAAATGCTTGTTATCAATAGTTTCAGATGAAAGGGGACTCATTGCAATTGATCAGTATCCCCTAATATTGCCATGGAGGCTAGTTGTTAGTTGTTGCTTTAACAATTTCCACTTAGTATCATTAAAGCTTTACCAGCAGTAGTTTTAAATACCCAGCAAAAACTGGGTAATGGCTTTCAATTGTAATTACTTACCTAACAACATACTTTTCAATGACTACAATATATGGTCTGGATTACATAGAAGTAGTCTAATAAGGTCTTACTAATAATGTGTTATATAAATACTTTCTAACTCATTAGTCATCTTGCCAGTGAAGATACAGATGCTGCATACGTTTATTCATGTGATTTACAATGACTCCTTTTTCTAATTACTTGTAATAGTTTGTGGTAATTACTTGCCTCCAATGACATCACCGTGTTAAAATAATGACTTAAAATGGTATTGTGTAAGTAAAATTTTACATTTTAACTTCTTACATGGTAATGGAAGTTTTTACTGGGTATTAAACTAGTTCTATGTATTAAGAGATTTTCGTAAATTTCAATATTATTTGTTATCATTTTTAATTATAAATTTAAAATTACATATTATTTAAAGAACTTGCTACTTGTTTGGCTCAAAAATTAACCACTTAAAATGTTTATACTTATTTAAGTTTGATTTAATTTATTTTTGTTTTGATTTGAATTTATTTGATTTACTATTGCAACAAAACTATATTTAAATAAGTTAGTAGCAGGCAGCTAGTGGCACAATGTAAACAAAAAATTATGGACAGAAATAATTAAAAACTTCAAGATTTTGGTCTACTTTTATATATCCTTTTTCATAAATATTTTGAATGATAAAACTTTGACAGCAGAAACTTGTTAATGACTTCCAATAATTGTCTCTTACCTAATAACATACTTTTCGAAGAGTACTACTTACCGTCTACATTACACAGAAGTAGTTTAATAATTACTTAAAAATAACTTCAGTAAATGTTTCTACTTTCTTAATCATTTGGTATCTCCTTGGTAAATAATATGGGGTTACTATCTTGATTTCGATTTGTAATTAATTATTTTTGAGAAAAGTGATCTCGACTAATGATCTTGCTTATGTGTATATTTTGAATTTGCGTCCATATTTTATTGTCCACACAATATCATCACAATAAATCAGTTGAATTTTGTTTTCCCACAAATATTTAATTCAAAGGCACACACTAAAAAAACTTTGTTAGTTTTCCAATGATAAATTAAATAAAATAATGTTGAGTTTTAGTTGAGTGTTTATATAAATTCACATATTTCTATATACATATATAAGTACATATTTTTGTTTAAACTGCTTTTTGAACTCAACCTAATCTATATCATGTTAACGTTTAGAAGTTTTTAACCACAAACATCTGGTTTTTGTGTATGAGAGAGTACGGCAACGAATATTTCAAATGTAAATACTTACATTTCTAAATGTAAAAATGAAAATTAATGAAAAAAAAAAACTACAAACTCATTCATAGTAAAACTAAATTTTTAAAACAAAAAACATAATATAAATTTGCTAACTTTAAACTGTTAGTTTAGAAAAGAAAGTAAATAAATAAAAATAATTACAACATTTTGTTCTTTATTGTTTATTTAGAAAAAAAAGGGAACAAATAAACTAAATTTACATATTGTTAAAAATTACAAGTAAATTAATATTTTAATAAAAAAATATTATATAAATAACAGTCCATTGTATAATTAAATGCAGGAGCAGGCGAAAGGGGGGGGGATGATTTTAGAGTTATAACTGCGTCCGTTTAAATAAGTAGATAAATCTGTCGGCTAAACATCACGATGTTGTATTGAGAGTTTGTGCTAAATCAGCTTCATCTATAGTTGCTTGACATACTAAGGGAAATGGCCATTCATGATATATAGTTGGTCCACTGTAGTCTCTTAATGTCTCTATAAGATCATCTAATCTTTTGACTTCCATTAAATCGGCATTGAATTCTTTTACTTCATCTAATAGTTGATTGACATTCGATTCAAGGACCTGCAAGAGAAAAAAATTCTATTAGCGTTCTACGAAATTTCTATAATATATTTTTCTGGTTTGTTCATAGTTCCGATATTTTTTTATTGAATTTTAGTTTGTAAAAAAAATACCTAGTATGGCAATGACTTGTACATACCTAACAACTTACTTTTCAATGACTACTAAATACCATCTGCATTACATAGAAGGAGTCTAGTAATGACTTACAAATAACTATATATGTAAGTACTTAGATTTTAGCTTAGATATTTTGTTTTAATTTTTTTTTAAATTATACCATTTTAATCTCTTACTTGGCAATGAAAGTTTTAGCTGGGTAATTATTTATAAATTCTTAGAAAAAGCAGCAACATTTATGGACTCCATGGGCCTACATACATTCTCAATAAAACCACTAATCAAAGTGGTCCAGACCGTTGAAAATTTAAAGAATTCCGATATAAATTGGTGATAGTATGGAATATACATATGTGGAACAGTATGTATTGGTCCTGTTATCCCAGTTAGATTCATTCTCTGCCCTTTAATGCCGATCGGTTGAACGTAACTGACGAGGACTCAACTCTCACTATCAAAATGGAACTGTTGAATCAAATAGAGCTTACAGCGACAAGTTCTGACATTCGGTTCAAGTTTTTGAGTCTTTCTGTTTGTAACTGTCGACTAGATCTCAACTCACGTTTCCTTTACATTCATAAAGATATGTGGATAGAGTGCGATCCTATTCTTGTGATATTGTGAGTGTAGTACAGCTGACAGTGACAAGTTGGGACGTATTCACATAGGGGACAAGTTCTGGGGCATTCTGTATGTACCTGTGGACTAGATCTCAACTCACGATGGACTTTTTCAACCACTGGGTGAGCTAGAGGGGACTCAATACCGCCCCTTTGCTTTCATGATAAAATTTATCCGAAACATTAAAAAAGACATGTGGATGGAATATAGGACCGTATTCTTCAACATATAGTTCCCTCAGCCATCAATCTACGAAACCCTGTTGAGTAGGCTCCAGCACCGGAATTTTATTCCAAAATATTAATTGATATTATAGACCCCGGCATCACAATAACACCAAGCTGTGGGCGGTATACTAAGGGGACGTCCCGGGTACAGTAACACATTTTTTATATACTTTTTGAAATCGCCTACGTATGTAACTTTGACAATATTATAATTGACAGTCTTAGTTCATTTCCTGTTACAAAATTCTTCATAAATACCAATACCAGTTCACATTTAGTCAAATATCAATTTACTTTTAATTTCTATAATCTTTCCGCTGTCATCAATGTGATATTTTTTGTCGGAAAAACTATTTTTATGTATTCATTGTAAACGACGGCATCGTTTTTTTAAACATCTCCATTCATCTGTAGCCATGAGTAATAAATGAATCAAAACAAATCTAAAGATGCATAAAGATACAGGTATTCACCGGCCGGTGTTTGCCACATACAGTGGGAGAGAAAATTAAAACAATTTTTCTAAAAAAAATTCCGGGAAAAATTAAAATCCAGTTTTGGTCTAAAACAAGTTTAATCATATTAAAATTTTAATACATTTAAATACTCAGTAAGCACTTCTAGAACCTGTTCTGTGGAATTTTACCATATAAATTTCAATAACTAAGCTAGTAGTGTAATCTAGTTTCTCAAAGCTTCTTTAAAACTAATTCTGAAGGTATAAAATTCATTTAAACAAAGCTTGTTAAACTACGTCTTTTTTGCTCTTTACTGTATATGGTTTCATATTTCAAATCTGCTTAGTTTGTGCTCATGTTGTTGACTTTTCTCAGTCATTTCATTTTTTTAAACACCACATATCAACATATGACATTGACATAACGTTCTAGTTAGTAGAATTTATCGTTATTGTTAAAGTAGGCATTTCAAAAAACTAAAAGAAATAGTAGAAATTATAGAAAATGAATAAGTTTACCCCATAGACACCTAGAGATAGTTGAAGGGAAATGTGTTACAAAAATCAATTAATAGTAAGCAGATGTTAACAGAAGGGGGTTAAGGTTGAAAAAAGCATGTAATTTATGATTATATGTATTTATCAGAATTATGTTAATTACTATTTTAAGAGTGACTAATCGATTTTAAATAAATACGAAAGTTAGACCGGCCTCTTGCAGACTGTTCTATACTTAGTCTATAGTCAAGTCTTTCGACTGCACTATAATCAAGACTATCGACTGTACTATAGTTAAGACTATAGACTGATCTTTACCCAAAACTATGGACTGATCTTTAGTCAAGCCTGATCTTTAGTATAGAATTATGGTCAAGACTATTCTATAGTCATGACTATAAACTGTTCGATAGTCAAGACTATACACTGATCTTTAGTCAAGATTATAGACTGTTCTATAGTCAAGACTATAAAATCTTTTATTGTCAAGATTTTAGAATGATCTATAGTCAAGACTATATACTATTCTATAATCAAGACTGTAGACAGTTCTAAAATCAGGACTCTAGACTATTCTATAGTAATATAGACTATTCTGTAGTCAAGACTATAGACTATTCTATAGTCAAGACTATAGACTATTCTATTGTCTAGGCTATAGACTATTCTATTGTCCAGACTATAGAGTATTCTATAGTCCAGACTATAGACTATTCTATAGTACCGACTATAGACTATTCTATAGTCCAGACTATATACTATTCTATAATCCAGACTATAGACTATTCTATAGTCCAGACTATAGACTATTCTATAGTCCAGACTATAGACTATTCTATAGTCCAGACTATAGAGCATTCTATTGTCCAGACTAAAGACTATTCTATAGTCCAAACTATAGACTATTCTATAGTCTAGACTATAGACTATTCTATAGTCCAGACTATAAACTATTCTATAGTCCAGACTATAGACTATTCTATAGTCCAGACTATAGACATTTCTATAGTCCAGACTATAGGCTATTCTATTATCAAGGCTATAGAATATTCTATAGTCCAGAGTATAGACTATGCTATTGTCAAGGCTATAGACTATTCTATTGTCCAGACTATGGAGTATTCTATAGTCCAGACTATAGAGTATTCTATAGTCCAGACTATAGAGTATTCTATAGTCCAGACTATAGAGTATTCTATAGTCTAGACTATAGTGTATTCTATAGTCCAGACTATAGAGTATTCTATAGTCCAGACTATAGAGTATTCTATAGTCCAGACTATAGAGTATTCTATAGTCCAGACTATAGAGTATTCTATAGTCCAAACTATAGAGTATTCTATAGTCCAGACTATAGAGTATTCTATAGTCCAGACTATAGAGTATTCTATAGTCCAGACTATAGAGTATTCTATAGTCCAGACTATAGAGTATTCTATAGTCCAGTCTATAGAGTATTCTATAGTCCAGACTATAGAGTATTCTATAGTCCCGACTATAGAGTATTCTATAGTCCAGACTATAGAGTATTCTATAGTCCAGACTATAGAGTATTCTATAGTCCAGACTATAGAGTATTCTATAGTCCAGACTATAGAGTATTCTATAGTCCAGACTATAGAGTATCCTATAGTCCAGACTATAGAGTATTCTATAGTCCAGACTATAGAGTATTCTATAGTCCAGACTATAGAGTATTCTATAGGGCAGACTATAGTTTATTCTATAGTCCGGACTATAGAGTATTCTATAGTCCAGACTATAGAGTATTCTATAGTCCAGACTATAGAGTATTCTATAGTCCAGACTATAGTGTATTCTATAGTCCAGACTATAGAGTATTCTATAGTCCGGACTATAGAGTATTCTATAGTCTAGACTATAGAGTATTCTATAGTCAGACTATAGAGTATTCTATAGTCCAGACTATAGAGTATTCTATAGTCCAGACTATAGAGTATTCTATAGTCCAGACTATAGAGTATTCTATAGTCCAGACTATAGAGTATTCTATAGTCCAGACTATAGAGTATTCTATAGTCCAAACTATAGAGTATTCTATAGGGCAGACTATAGTGTATTCTATAGTCCAGACTATAGAGTATTCTATAGTCCGGACTGCAGAGTATTCTATAGTCTAGACTATAGAGTATTCTATAGTCCAGACTATAGAGTATTCTATAGTCCAGACTATAGAGTATCCTATAGTCCAGACTATAGAGTATTCTATAGTCCAGGCTATAGAGTATTCTATAGTCCAGACTATAGAGTATTCTATAGTCCAGAATATAGACCATAGGCTATTCTATTGTCCAGACTATAGACTATTCTATCATACAGACTATAGACTATTCTATAGTACAGACTATAGACTATTCTATAGTCCAGACTATTTACTATTCTATAATCCAGACTATAGACTATTATATAGTCCAGACTATATAGTAGACTATTCTACAGTCCAGACTATTGATTATTCTATTGTCAATGTTATAGACTATTCTATTGTCAATACTATAGACTATTCTATAGTCCAGACTATAGACTATTCTATAGTCAATAATATAGACTATTGTGTAGTCCAGAAAATAGACAATTCTATATAGTTTTATAGTCAAGACTATAAACTGTTATATAGTGAAGTATTTCATCAATAGTTAAAATTTTAAATTATTATGCCGAATAGAATATAACCACCATCAAAACATGTGTTGTAATTTTGGAAGTACGTTCTATATATGGATTTAGGAGTTTAATGGTCAGTTATGGATCAGGCTTTACAAAATTTTAAATGATGAATAATATCCTCCAAAAAGTAATGTTTGCAAACCGTATGTATATGGAATATCGTGATTTCAACAGACAGACGGGCATTGCTAGATCGTCTTAGAAATTAATGTGTACTTTTGTGGGTCTGCGACAAATATTTCGATGTGTTACAAACGGAATGACAAAAAAAAAATATGTATGACCACCCTCTCATTTATGATGGTGTTTATAAAAACAGTTAATAAAATAAGTTGGAAAAACTGTAAAACAAAAGGTAAAAGCCGATTGGGTATTGTTCATAAACTTATGCATGTATTAAAGTTTACCCTACATACATACATAGTTATGTATGTAGGTACATATTTATGTGTTTTTATTTACCAATATATCAATATGCAAATTAATTACACATTTCAATATTTGATGCACTCGATGTCGCAATTTTTCGATTGTTAATCGATGTCGTTGCACAATTGATGTTGTCGATGGTGATGTTGCTGATATTGTTGTTGTTCTCATTGGCGATGATGATGTCGTTGATAGTAATGATTTTGTTGCTGATGTTGTTGTTGTTGACGATGATACTGTATATATTGCTTTCGTTATAGTTGATGTTGTTGCTGTCGCTGTTAAAGCTGTCATTGTTGCTTTCGTTATAATATCTGGTGTCATTTTTAGTTATTGTTCAATTTTTTTTTATTTTTTGGTTTCTTTTTTGTTGCAGTTGCTGTATTGAAATTTCGTATTTTTCTTTTTTCAACTGTCATCTGCTTGTTAAATTTTTCTTTTGGTTTTTACTGTTAATTTCACTTTTTTTTTTTAAAGGTAAACAATAACAATGTATGTTTTTATTTGTAATGAAAACTGTTTTAATTAAATGTGGGTATGTTCTCGTTTTAATTAATTCGGAATAATTTAGGTTTTTGTATCTTTAAGGTGGTAAGCTAATTGTAAATTTTGCAAATTAATTGAAAACTATGAAAAACCAATTGAAAATCCAGACTTTTAGTAAAAAATTAGATTTATAATGCTGAACAATTTTTAGTAAACATTTTAATAAAAAATTCAATTTTTTACGAAAATTCGGCTTTTTACGATAAAATAGGAAAGTCAAGATTTTAGTGAATAAAATTAATTAAAAAAAGAGTTTTTTATCAGAACAAAGCTGAACTAGAACTGAACTAGAACTGAACTAGAACTGAACTAGAACTGAACTAGAACTGAACTAGAACTGAACTAGAACTGAACTAGAACTGAACTAGAACTGAACTAGAACTGAACTAGAACTGAACTAGAACTGAACTAGAACTGAACTAGAACTGAACTAGAACTGAACTAGAACTGAACTAGAACTGAACTAGAACTGAACTAGAACTGAACTAGAACTGAAGAAGAACTGAACTAGAACTGAACTAGAACTGAACTAGAACTGAACTAGAACTGAACTAGAACTGAACTAGAACTGAACTAGAACTGAACTAGAACTGAACTAGAACTGAACTAGAACTGAACTAGAACTGAACTAGAACAGAACTAGAACAGAACTAGAACTGAACTAGAACTGAACTAGAACTGAAATAGAAACTGAACTAGAACTGAACTAGAACTGAACTAGAACTGAACTAGAACTGAACTAGAACTGAACTAGAACTGAACTAGAACTGAACTAAAACTGAACTAAAACTGAACTAGAACTGAAATAGAATTGAACTAGAACTGAACTAGAAACTGAACTAGAACTGAACTAGAACTGAACTAGAACTGAACTAGAACTGAACTAGAACTGAACTAGAACTGAACTAGAACTGAACTAGAACTGAACTAGAACTGAACTAGAACTGAACTAGAACTGAACTAGAACTGAACTAGAACTGAACTAGAACTGAACTAGAATGAACTAGAACTGAATAGAACTGAAATAGAACTGAAACTAGAACTGAACTAGAACTGAACTAGAACTGAACTAGAACTGAACTAGAACTGAACTAAAATGAACTAAACTGAACTAGAATGAAATAGAATTGAACTAGAACTGAACTAGAACTGAACTAGAACTGAACTAGAACTGAACTAGAACTGAACTAGAACTGAACTAGAACTGAACTAGAACTGAACTAGAAACTGAACTAGAACTGAACTAGAACTGAACTAGAACTGAACTAGAACTGAACTAGAATGACACTAGAACCTGACTAGAACTGAACTAGAACTGAACTAAACTGAACTAGAACTGAACTAGAACCTGAACTAGAACTGCAACTAGAACTCTGAACTAGAACTGAACTAGAACTGAACTAGAACTGAACTTAGAACTGAACTAGAAACTGAACTAGACCTGAACTAGAACTGAAACTAGAAACTGAACTAGAAAAACAATGAACTCGACCTGAACTCGAACTGAACTAGAACTGACATAGAAACTGAACTAGAACTGAACTAGAACTGAAACTAGAAACTGAAACTAGAAACTGAACTAGAACTGGACTAGAACTGAACTAGAAACTGAAACTAGACACTGAACTTGAACTGAACTAGAAACTGCACACTAGAACCTGGAACTAGAACTGAACCTAGAACTGAACTAGAACTGAAATATTGAGAGAAATGCTAGAGCAAGTTGCATTTTTAAGTTGTTTCAGAAACTGCTCAAATTGGATTGCTATCTAATCTCTATTATTGTGCTGTGGGGTAAATTAGTCACGTCGGTAGAATGCCCTTATCTCTAGATTTACATACATATGTACATATGTATACATTTGTACATGCATATCTATATAATTATTCTAGTACGTCTATGTCAATACATATTAATTTTCCCATGATTTTGAATTTAATTGCACATAACATTGTGTAGTCACATACATACATAATTATATATTTTTTTCAGAAAAACCTACTAAAATATGTAATTGCTTTGATTAAAAATCATTTTGGCAATTTGATATTTTCACTGTTTTTATTATGGGACATGTATAGCATTTTTTGTATGAAATTGTGTTTAGCTGCATTTTTCATTTGCAAAATTAAAAAGCCAGAGTTAAGAATTAATGAAACAACTGTGACATAATGAAAATGTTAAACATTTTGCCATACAAAAGTAACATACATATGTATGTATATATCGATGTATGAATGTATGTATGTAAGAATGAAACTATGTAACAAAAGTGGTTTTATTTGCATTTTTGATAGATACAAACAAACAAATGTTTGCTAATTTAGAACACACACATACATACACTGCTAGTAGTAATTACATATTTTAAAATAAACACATTTTTGCACAAATTTGACGATTTTTTGCTTTTGTCTATTTGGTTTTATTTAGCACGGAATTTGCAACTATTTCGTTTATTTGTCACAGAATTAAATGCCTCCAAAAATTTTGTTGATAAATAAACAAACAAAAAACCATAAAGACAACAACCACCAATATAAAAAAAGTATTTTTCAAAAAGTAGAAAAACAAACGTATGGAAAAAATTAAAAAACAAACAAATGAAATCGAATTTAAATCACAGCAATGAAACCGTTCGCGTAAAATTAGCTTTTAAAACTAAAATTAAGAATCTCAGTGCAAATTATTTCAATTTCAAGTATTCAGTCAGTTTTGTGTTTTCGCTTGTAAAAAATGTTCTATCTACTCGTATTCGTATAGATTTTTTGCAGTTTTGTTGTTGTTTAAATCTCTCATTATCATTGCTTTTGTATGTATGTAGATATTTAGGGTTTCCCTTGACAAAAAAAAAAAAAAAAAAAATAAAATAAAATAAAATAAAAAAATAATTCTGTGGTTTATTAAGAATTTAAGTATGATATTTAGAATGTTTTTTTAATATGATTAAAGATTTTTTATATAAAAGTACCCATCTAAATTTTCACACAGGAATTTATGAATGAGTTTTTGTGATAACCTCTAGGTGCTCATATATGGTTTTTAATAAAAATAAATTTATTATTGAAATCTTTATAAGAATTTATTCAATATGTATTTGCATCGATAAATAGTCTCTTCGCTTTTAGTTCAGTTCCAGTACTAGTTCTAGTTCAGTTCTAGTTAAGTTCTAGTTCAGCTCTAGTTTAGTTCTAGATCAGTTCTAGTTCAGTTCTAGTTCAGTACTATTTCAGATCTAGTTCAGTTCTAGTTCAGTTCTAGTTCAGTACTATTTCAGATCTAGTTCAGTTCTAGTGCAGTTCTAGTTCAGTTCTATTTCAGTTCTTTTTCAGTTCTATTTCAGTTCTATTTCAGTTCTAGTTCAGTTCTAGTTCTAGTACAGTTCTAGTTCTAGTTCAGTTCTAGTTCAGTTCTAGTTTAGTTCTAGTTTAGTTCTAGTTTAGTTCTAGTTTAGTTCTAGTTTAGTTCTAGTTCTCTTCTAGTTCTGTTCTAGTTCAGTTCTGGTTCTGTTCTTTTCTAGTTCTCTTCTAGTTCTGTTCTAGTTCTGTTCTAGTTCTGTTCTAGTTCTGTTCTAGTTCTGTTCTAGTTCTGTTCTAGTTCTGTTCTAGTTTCTGTTCTAGTTCTGTTCTAGTTCTGTTCTAGTTCTGTTCTAGTTCTGTTCTAGTTCTGTTTCTAGTTCTGTTCTAGTTCGTTCTAGTTCTGTTCTAGTTCTGTTCTAGTTCTGTTCTAGTTCTGTTCTAGTTCTGTTCTAGTTCTGTGTTTCTAGTTTCTAGTTCTGTCTAGTTCTGTTCTAGTTCTGTTCTAGTTCTGTTCTAGTTCTGTTCTAGTTCTGTTCTAGTTCTGTTCTAGTTCTGTTCTAGTTCTGTTCTAGTTCTGTTCTAGTTCTGTTCTAGTTCTGTTCTAGTTCTGTTCTAGTTCTGTTCTAGTTCTGTTCTAGTTCTGTTCTAGTTCTGTTCTAGTTCTGTTCTAGTTCTGTTCTAGTTCTGTTCTAGTTCTGTTCTAGTTCTGTTCTAGTTCTGTTCTAGTTCTGTTCTAGTTCTGTTCTAGTTCTGTTCTAGTTCTGTTCTAGTTCTGTTCTAGTTCTGTTCTAGTTCTGTTCTAGTTCGGTTCTAGTTTCTGTTCTAGTTCTGTTCTAGTTCTGTTCTAGTTCTGTTCTAGTTCTGTTCTAGTTTCTGTTCTAGTTCTGTTCTAGTTCTGTTCTAGTTCTGTTCTAGTTCTGTTCTAGTTCTGTTCTAGTTCTGTTCTAGTTCTGTCTAGTTCTGTTCTAGTTCTGTTCTAGTTCTGTTCTAGTTCTGTTTCTAGTTTCTGTTGTTCTAGTTCTGTTCTAGTTCTGTTCTAGTTCTGTTCTAGTTCTGTTCTAGTTCTGTTCTAGTTCTGTTCTAGTTCTGTTCTAGTTCTGTTCTAGTTCTGTTCTAGTTCTGTTCTAGTTCTGTTCTAGTTCTGTTCTAGTTCTGTTCTAGTTCTGTTCTAGTTCTGTTCTAGTTCTGTTCTAGTTCTGTTCTAGTTCTGTTCTAGTTCTGTTCTAGTTCTGTTCTAGTTCTGTTCTAGTTCTGTTCTAGTTCTGTTCTAGTTCTGTTCTAGTTCTGTTCTAGTTCTGTTCTAGTTCTGTTCTAGTTCTGTTCTAGTTCTGTTCTAGTTCTGTTCTAGTTCTGTTCTAGTTCTGTTCTAGTTCTGTTCTAGTTCTGTTCTAGTTCTGTTCTAGTTCTGTTCTAGTTCTGTTCTAGTTCTGTCTAGTTCTGTTCTAGTTCTGTTCTAGTTCTGTTCTAGTTCTGTTCTAGTTCTGTTCTAGTTCTGTTCTAGTTCTGTTCTAGTTCTGTTCTAGTTCTGTTCTAGTTCTGTTCTAGTTCTGTTCTAGTTCTGTTGTAGTTCTGTTGTAGTTCTGTTCTAGTTCTGTTCTAGTTCTGTTCTAGTTCTGTTCTAGTTCTGTTCTAGTTCTGTTCTAGTTCTGTTCTAGTTCTGTTTAGTTCTGTTCTAGTTCTGTTCTAGTTCTCTTCTAGTTCTGTTCTATTCTGTTCTAGTTCTTTTCTAGTTCTGTTCTAGTCTGTTCTAATTCTGTTCTAGTTCTGTTCTAGTTCTGTTCTAGTTCTGTTCTAGTTCTGTTCTAGTTCTGTTCTAGTTCTGTTCTAGTTCTGTTCTAGTTCTGTTCTAGTTCTGTTCTAGTTCTGTTCTAGTTCTGTTCTAGTTCTGTTCTAGTTCTGTTCTAGTTCCGTTCTAGTTCTGTTCTAGTTCTGTTCTAGTTCTGTTCTAGTTCTGTTCTAGTTCTGTTCTAGTTCTGTTCTAGTTCTAGTTCTGTTCTAGTTCTGTTCTAGTTCAGTTCTAGTTCTGTTCTAGTTCTGTTCTAGTTCTGTTCTAGTTCTGTTCTAGTTCTGTTCTAGTTCTGTTCTAGTTCTGTTCTAGTTCTGTTGTAGTTCTGTTCTAGTTCTGTTCTAGTTCTGTTCTAGTTCTGTTCTAGTTCTGTTCTAGTTCTGTTCTAGTTCTGTTCTAGTTCTGTTCTAGTTCTGTTCTAGTTCTGTTCTAGATCTGTTCTAGTTCTGTTCTAGTTCTGTTCTAGTTCTGTTCTAGTTCTGTTCTAGTTCTGTTCTAGTTCTGTTCTAGTTCTGTTCTAGTTCTGTTCTAGTTCTGTTCTAGTTCTGTTCTAGTTCTGTTCTAGTTCTGTTCTATTTCTGTTCTAGTTCTGTTCTAGTTCTTTTCTAGTTCTGTTCTAGTCCTGTTCTAGTTCTGTTCTGTTCTAGTTCTGTTCTAGTTCTGTTCTAGTTCTGTTCTAGTTCTGTTTAGTTCTGTTCTAGTTCTGTTCTAGTTCTGTTCAAAAATTCAAAAACAAAATTCATTACAGTTATGTATTATTTCTATCCGTCTAATTATTTGTTGCGCCAAATTGTAATCTATAATTAACACCTGACATAAAAACAGACCTTACATGAACTTAATACTTAAATTAATTAAATGAGCTATAAAATATTGTAGGGTACCTGCACTTAACTTCTTACTGATTACCACTGTTACTTATTTATTTTATATCTCTTCACACTTTAGTAGAAGTATCTATTGCATTGTTTGGGAGACGAAAAATAAAAAATACAAAAGTAGAAAAGTGTAAAATAAAACATTTGTATCTGAAAGTTTTATTCAAACAAGAATGTTTATTTGTTTAAATAAAAAAACGCGGCTGCTTAACAATTGCACTACAACAAAACATTGTTTTACACGTGTCAATGAATGTAATGTAAATATTGTGCCATATATGATGTACTTAAACATATGTACATACATATGTGTAGATTACATATGTACGTATGTAAATAATTGTGTTTATATGTAAATATTTATAAAAATACTTTTCATACACATTTAAGTACTATACTCTTATTATTACAGTTATTCTCTTAAACTTTAAGTAGATTCTTTTTTTTTTCCACACTCATTGTTTCTTTTTTGTAAAATTGAGGGCTCTCATCATTGTTTAAATTTTATGTTCTTTATTACATCAAATAAATGAATAAACGGATGGTTGAATGGATGAATGGTTTGTGGATGTGTAATAAGCAAAAATTATATGGTAAAAAATTTATAAAAAAAGAAAATGCATTTAATTTGCATGTAGAATGTAGTAGTATGTGTAAAATGAGTTAAGTTCATTGACGGGCGGTCTTTGGTTAAAAAATACAATCTAGCAGAAAGAAAAATGTTTTAATATATGAGGGTGGTTTATAGAAAATTTAACGAAAAACAAATTCTCAATATTTTTCTAAAAAAAGATAATTTTGGAGAAATTTTTTATACAAAATGAAATTGAATTTAATTTAAAAAAAAATTTTATAAAAACAAAATTTTCGTTAAAATAATATTTTATGAACATTTTTTATAAAAGAACATTTTGCGAAAATTTTCTATAGAAAGAAAGTTTTGCGAAAATATTTTATAGAAGAAAGTTTTGCGAAAATTTTTTATAGAAGAAAGTTTTGCGAAAATTTTTTATAGAAAGAAAATTTTGCGAACATTTTCTATAGAAAGAAAATTTTGCGAACATTTTCTATAGAAAGAAAATTTTGCGAACATTTTCTATAGAAAGAAAATTTTGCGAACATTTTCTATAGAAAGAAAATTTTGCGAACATTTTCTATAGAAAGAAAATTTTGCGAACATTTTCTATAGAAAGAAAATTTTGCAAAAATTTTCTATAGAAAGAAAATTTTGCAAAAATTTTCTATAGAAAGAAAATTTTGCGAAAATTTTCTATAGAAAGAAAATTTTGCGGAAATTTTCTATAGAAAGAAAATTTTGCGGAAATTTTCTATAGAAAGAAAATTTTGCGGAAATTTTCTATAGAAAGAAAATTTTGCGAAAATTTTCTATAGAAAGAAAATTTTCTATAAATTTTTGTTAGACATAGCGTCTCTCTAACAAAATTTCATCTTATTTAAAATTATACAATCATGCTAATTTATTTATGGTATTATATCGATTTAATTTATTTGATAAATAAAAAATGCATACATAGTACATATTATTTTATTTATTTACTTATATTTACATACACGTTTAAGCCTAGTACTTCCAAAATTTTTAACAGAAATTTCATAAGAAAAATTTAAGAAATGCATAACATTCACTTCCATTGTTGAAAATGTTATTCACAGATAAG